TTCCTTTTTTTTTTTTTTTTTTTAATGCAGTACCAGGGCTCAAACTCAGGAACTCATGCTTACAAGGCAGGCAGGGTGCCAGTGCCACTGACCTAAATCCCTGGCCCTTTATTACATTTTCTTATAATTTTAATTTTGAAACAGGGTCTTGCTAAGTTGATGAGTTGCCAAGGGTGGGTTCAGAGTATCTCAGCCTCCCAGAATATTGGGATTATAGGCACGTAGCACCATGGTAACAAAGAAGACACTTTTCAATGTTTATAGTTGAAAACAATTTAAATTAAGCAAAAGTATTACATGTGTTCTTGCTTTGCAACCAATCAAAATGTACGTTCCTAAATTTACATCTGCCTTCATGTAGTTTAGATTTCTGTAATCGTAGTCTGTATTTAGTAGTATAAATTGAAAGCCGAAAGGTTAAACAGATGAAGATACTCTCCTTTCTATCATTATTTCTAAACTATACCTGTATTTTTACTATAGTGTATGAAACATTCAAACTTGTTCCCCTGACAGCTATCATGCTTCTGCTTGTTTAGACTGTTAATTTTTTAGCATTGATAATGCTTTAAAAGGAATACTTTTAAATGATATATTGATCTTATTAGGAAAGTAATATTGGAAAAAATCAATTCAGCATGACAAATTAGACAAATGAATGAAGCCCCTTGGGGGTTGGAATCATCAGTACCTGGCTCTTCCTAGCCTAAAGTCAACACCATTTTCTTCTCCCCAATATAAATGAGGGGCCCTGCATGTTACCCTGACAACAGGTGCAGCTGTAGGTGGAATAACTAGACTATGTTTCCTAAAGAACAGTTATTGAAATTGCTTCAGCAGCCACATTTTCCATTGAAATTATTTTGTAACAATAAACCTTTATTAAAAAAATAGAAAAAAATCAACTATGAAGCAAACAATTTGATTAACGCCTTGCAGTCCAATCTATGTTCACAAGGAACTCGGAACTTTCGCACAAATAGACTCTAAATAAACATATTTGGTATTTTCAAGTTATAAATGAAAACAAATCATTTAATATTCAGAACCTTGATTATCAAATGATTGTCTAATCCTTATTCAATAATTATTCACCCCTAAATTTTGTTTTTGTTTTATAAAATAAATTCTAAGAATTATTTCCACAAAGGAGGGTTCTAGAATTGCTGGCACACAGTGACTTTCTTTTCTTCTTCTGTCAGAATGGCCCCTTTTCCTGACAAGAACAGATAACCTATGCAAGAAGCATGAACCTATAAAGGCAGCATCCTTAGATGTTGTACCCCAAAGGCACAAATATTTGGGTAAGTACTGACATTTCACCTTTCACTGATGCTAAATTTTAGCACTGAGTTCATACAATAAAGGCTTATGTCTTTGTCCTTTTTCTTATTAATCCTATTATGCTTGTCTTTATGAGCTCTGAGTTTCTGTCACTCCCTCCAGGGCTCAGCTGCAAATGAGATTTCACATCTCAGTGTAAAATAACCCGAACACTTTTCTATAAAATTAAATAAAAGTCCTCCATCCTGATACTACATGCCTAGAATCTAATTTCTGGAACCAATGTATTTCCCAATGCCTCACTGTCTTCCAGCCATCTCACTTTCCTTGGCTTTGAGGGTTTTTCCTTTTCTCCTCTTCCTCTTTTTTGTTCTTTTTCCTTTTGTATGAGAATGGTTTATTGGTATGAGAGGAAGACAGAGCACAGGTGGGTGTACAGAGCAGACAGTGGACATCAGATTCCTAGATGCCCTCCATTTTGAGATGTCACATGACTAGGACTAGAAGTTACTTCCTTCTTCCATTCCTGCACTTCAGAAATAGCCAGCCTGCTCTTGGATACAATTGTAATGTCCCTGTTTCTGCCAGTACATGCCCATGCTTTCAATGTGAGCTAGACACAGCGATAACTCATCACAATTTCTCCTTCAGAAAGGATTAGAGATTTTTAAAAAGAAGGAGGAATAAAGAAGTCCTGGTTTGAACGTCTTAAGGAGTTTCAGGAATCAGCAGCTACCTCTCCTGGTGGACGTAGGTCAAATTTACAAGCCGCCCAAATGACAGGCACTTCAGAGTCCCACAGAGCACACCACGCGGTACAGGGAGGCATGATGAAGCACTGATGGAATTTTCACTTTCTTTTTCTAACCCCACACAGTATTAAATCCTTGTAAATACTGATATTTTAAAAAAATAACAATAGGAAGTGATTCATTCAAATACTCTGTATCCCTTTGAAGATCCTGACTAAATTTAGGTCACAGGTACAATGCTAAAGAAATTCAACTTTCTGAAGTTAGCCTTGTATATAAACTGGCAACGGATGGCAGTGAATTACGTGCAATTGGAAATAGCAAATAAACCAGGCGTGATGAAGATATATTAGATTGTCATCTAGCTAGATATTTCTTCTGAGCAAAGAAAAACTCTACATTTCTTAGATTTCAGAAATTGCTTTGGAGAGAGTTTGTAAATGTACTCTAAGCCCAATATGCTTAATCACTTAAAAGATGAAAAGAATCTATACAGAGACACAAACACAAATGCCTTCAGAAGACAACATTAAGATGTGATAGAGCAGGATCAAAAGTGACAGTGTGTGTCCAGAGCAGAGGTAAACTGGCCAGATGTTCACTACTAACTAAAGAGATTTATATCCTATAGCAAAATTAAATAAAACAAATGCCAAATAATTTGTGGTTGTTGGGCATCTGTTTAACAACCATGAGGAAAAGTAGAGCCTAATGGTTCTTTTATAATTCAATTATTTTATTAATGTACATAGTCTTTTGGAATTGGTTTTTTCTTTTGGAATTGTTTTTTGGGGGTGGGTGGGTACTGAGGATCAAACTCAGGCTCTTGTGCTCGTAAGGCAGGTGGTGAAACCACTGAGCCAAATCCCCGGCCCTCTTTTGGAACTGTGTACAGCTGAACAGGCATGATGAGATAAAATGCTTCAGTGATATTAAAAAAAAAAACACTAATATTGAACTAGTCCTATTAATTATTTTACCTTGGGAATTGAGTCCAAGGCCTTCTTAGTTTCTGACTGGATAAAAAGGAATTCTTACTAGAAGAGACTCCTCTATGGAAAACAGAATCTTAATGGGAGTATTGTATTCATGGTAATATCATACAAAGAAGACTGAACATGCAGTTCTATATTAGTTATAAAAGAAGTATTTGATGTATATATTAAAGGCCTGGAAATAGTCCTTCAAAAGTGCATATACCTGCTATTGATATTATTATTATTATTATTATTATTATTATTGCTATCATAGCAAGGAAAGTGCATTGCAAACATATCATGGAATAGAGAATCTAGTTGCTGTCGGAATGACATAAAGTCTACCCAAGAGATATTTTACTTTTGGTTATACAAAGGGACATACATAAGCATATATGATTATACATAAGGGATATATGAGATTTAAAATTGAGGGAAAAGTAAACCAATAGTAAGCAAATAATAATTATTAAAACAATCACTTGAAAAACACTATGGTCAAAATGTTTTCAGGTTACACTGACAGAAGGGTATAACTGTGTTTTGAAATATCAAAGACAATTTTAAATTGATTCAGATACATATATATGTATTTTCTCTTCTGTTGGTGTTTCTCCTGGATAAATATAGAAACCTCTCAAACCTTGATTAGATTTGCAAATATTCAGTGATTGTTACTTGAACTAGCCATTCATGATCCTGCATTTCTTCTGTAGAACAAAAAAAGCTGTCCTCTGTATGCCACCGTACACTACTGTCCTCTGTAGAGAGGTAGTTTATAAAGGTTATTTTACCTGAAGCTTAGAACCAGTGTGTCAAACAAATGCAAGCATGAGTTCATGTTTCAAAATTGGCTCCCTATCCCACAGATGAGCGAGTCTCTATTTCCAACATTCCAACTCTTTGGAGCAAATAAGAATTTTGGGAGCTCCTAATCCATTGGTATATGAAATCTAACTTGTTTTGTTCAACCTTTTAAAATGTCTTCAATCATCTGACATTACCCTGTCTACCTAAGATCATTTTTTTCTCTAAATAAGAGATTTATGATCTCCCCATCTATACACAAGCATTGTAGTGTAAAAGGCTTTTCTTCACATCGTCCCTCTTACCTAGTATTTATTCTCTTTCTTGTCTCATCATCTATTTAAATCACAGCTTCTTCTACCCAAACTAAAATACTAATTCATAAATGTTTAGCCCATAACCTCACACTTGGCTCAACTCCTCTGAATTTCTGAAGAACAAAGAATATGTCCAACACTTCCTATATATTCTATCTGAATACTTTCACCTTTTCTTCCTACATATAGTATGATCTCTCTGAGGACTGAACCCATTTAAAAAATTTGTCTGCATATCTCACTGTACCCAGTAGGACTCTAATTGTATGATAGGTTTTCAATATGAACAAAAGGTTTTTAAAAAGTCAGTGAACATATTATAATGAGTATTTTAATAAAATGATCTTGCCAAACAATTATATGAGAAAATAACTGTATATGTAAGTATGTTGGGGGGTTAACAATCCGACATTTGAATAAATACATTCTGAACATTTTTCTTTGGAAAGAAATTTTTAAAAAATCCCTTTCTAGATTACATGACTTTTGTGCCTCTGTGTTAATTAAGGCTGAAACCATGTCCTTGCTATAGGATGGCTGTTTGCCTACTACTGAAGAAAAAATTCCTCAGTTTAATTATCAAAGGATGCCCTCAACCGAAACGGAAAGGGTAAGGCGACGTCAGTTAAACCATTCCATGGAGATTCTTTGCAAACTGCTAACACACAACTGTCTTGAACAGCATACAGACCCAGTTTAACTAATTTTACATTTAGGTATTAATAATACATGATAAGCCATGTCTGATGTGACAAATTGCAATAACTATTAAACCATTTGTCCATCCAATATATCTGATTAATCATGACACACCATGTGACAAAGACAAACCTCTCCATGTTTGAAGAAAGCTAAGTGAAGAAAATACACCAAACCCAATATTTCTCATTAGTACTAAGGAACCTGAGTTCAGCTTCGCAGACTTCCTAGCTAGGAGGAGCTTCAGGAATCCCATTATGCCTCCCATTCCCATGTGCCCAGCCAGCTCCCAAGTAAAAGACAAGGCTTAGGTTCATGTTGCATGAACTTCTCTTCAGGAAAGCAAAGAGCTGGAAAAGTTGAGGCTAAGAACATACCAGAGGAAAGCAAAGTTCTATGTTGAGTAATAACTCCTATACCCCACCTCACTAGCTAAGATCCACAAGAATATGTGGAGAACAGATCCTCAAGTGCTCAAAGGAAGGTCTAATGTGGTCTCTAAATTTCTCAAAAGCAAACAGTGAAAGAAGTCACAATGAATGCAGTAGGGTTAAAAAGCCCCAACTAATGACATTATGAGACTTTTCCTGCTTTCCCTATAATCTGCTACCTCTACAACACTAGAACTTGGCATTTGAAAAATCTACAATGACCAACACTTGAGCATACAATCCCCCAGTAGTATCATGTCCCACATAACTGTACACATACAAATGCTTGGAAGCCTAAAAAAGATTATACTTTCTTCGCTATTTAATGTGTCTATGACGCTTTGACTACATAGACAATGAAAGCATTATTCGTTTCTGTTTAAAATTTTTATTTTATTCTCTAAATAAAAACTTTAAATTGTGCTTATTAATGAGGTACAGTATAATGTTCTGATACATGTATACACTGTATGTTTAAATCAGATTAAACATATTTACCTACTCATTTAACATTTATGATAAAAACTTCCAATAATTTTTTCTAGCTTTCTGAAATGCATGATATATTATCTTTATCTATATTCACCACACTGTGCAATAGCACAACAAAACTTCTTGCTTCCTATTGAACTGTATCTTAGTATCCACTGATCAACCTTTCCTTTCTCTCCTTCCCCTGATGCCCTCAGTTTTTGATAATCACCACTCTACTCTAAACTTCTATGTGATCAACTAATGCACATGTGATTCCTTATTACTGGCTTAACTGCTTGTGAAATAATTAGCAGAACAGTTTCCATGGGAAAATTTTGGAAATCTAAGCACAGAAATATACTAGAAAAACGATTCTTATTGTGTGTTACTTTGGGCAAATTACTGATCTTATGTGGGACTCAGATTTTGCATAGGTTTAATAAAGATACTGATAGTACTAACATATGTAATTGTCAAGATTAAGTACTGATTTTAAAGATTTAGCAAATACTATAACAAAGAGAAAATTGAGAAACTTTGTCTATCATCAATACTGTATTGGAGGATAAAACCAAAGGTGACTCCAAAAATTCCTGTTTGCTGGTTGTTGATACTTTTGTGTATTGCTTTCCCCTTGATACGGGCAAAACCCATGACTTGTGTGTAAAGAAAGAAATATGACAAATGTGATTAGATGTCACTTGTAAGATTAGATTACAAAAAGGAGATGAGAAAAATCACTATTGTGATTATATTACTTTTTACATGACTCAGTTTTAGAAAACTGGCACTGGAAACCCTCTTCAAGGGCTTGATGAAGTAAGTTGTTGTAGTGGGAAAGTGTTTAGGGAAAGGAAGAAGAGATCACCAGGATCTGAGGTCAGTCTTCAGTTAACTGAATACTCCTGGCCCCTCAAATCATACGCAAAGAAATGAACTCTGCCCACAAGCTGAATAAGCTTCCATGTTGATTCTTTCCCAGTTGAACCTCTAGAGGAGAGCACAGCACATACCGCAGTGCAACTGCAACTTTGGGAGAGATGCAGACACAGAAGTCGCTTATGCCCTGTCCAAACTTCTTACCCACAGAAATTACAAGGTAAGAACTATAGGGCTGGGGATGTAGCTCAGTGGCACAGGATCTGCCTGGCAAGCACGAAGCCCTGGGTTCCAGTCCCAGCACAAAAATAAGTTAAGAACTATGTAAGCTTCAACATAGATGTTGACTTGTAACACAAATAGAACTATCATGACTATACGGTATCAGGAATATGGTAACCAACACGAGGAGTATTCTTTCTTTATGACGAACATATTTCTGGGTTTTGGACTTTGAAACTGATACACAGTTGAAAACTCTTGAATTCTGTTATATACCACATGGAGCATCAAGGTAGAAGAGATAGTAGAAATGATCTGACCCAACTGCTTGAGCCAAATATTCTGCAGATGAAATAACCAAGCTCCTAAAAGGTTAAATGATTTGGTGAAGATTAAATGATTTGCTGCCAGATCACTGCAGACTAAAACTTGTACTCAGCTCTTTGGACTTCTGAGTTAATGTTTCATATAACTGCAATGACTCTAGACCCAAAATTTACCATTTTGCTGAAATTCTGTTGACTCTGAGTTAACAAATATGAATGTAACAAGTATGAATGATGACTGGATCTCAGATGATTGCGTGGCTTAATCACAACTGCTTAAATTCATCTGAAAGTCCCTTACAGTCATTCTGGCATGGTTTGTTTTCAAGGTAACACTGGGGTGATCTGCTACATATTAAGCCTCAATTGTGTAAGAGTAACATAAGACTTGGGCAAACATAGAACAACCAAAGCTGTGTCTGAAAGTATAAAACACATTGAGCAAAAGGGTAAAAAGTTCAGTTAATCCATGAAAATATCATCATCCACTAGGGATCTTTGTCTAAAGGTTATGTGTCACAGACTGTCAGAGGGTGGCAGCGGCCAGGATGGCTGAAATAACCTGTTGATGCATATAATACCAGATGCTAGGATCTCATCCCTGTGTGCCCGAGTCAGATGACATAACTGTGTTACAACCGCAGTGCAACTCTAAACAACCCATTTAATCTATTTATTTGTCAGTGAAATCTCTCTTCTCTCAAAAGCATCATTTTCTTCTAATTTTCATAGTGACCGATTATCCAGCTTTTCTCTAATACAATTTAAAAAGTCTAAAATATGTGACATCCAGGCTATGTATGCTGTTTCACAGATTTATTATGTTTTCAGAATATATATTGTTACAATGAGGCAGAGATTTTGAAGTCAGAGCTCTCCATGTCAGTAGTGTCACCAGTGTGCAGCACTTTACTCCTATCTGTTCTCTCCAATATTTGAATCCCAAATATTCTTTTTAATATTTGGATAATATTGGAGAGTTAAATACCTCCAATTTCACTTTATTTTATATTTTATCTCCCCTCCATTTAATTAATTTTTCATTTTTAGTGAATATTTGCAGTACATAATGATTACATTCCTTGTGGGAATTTGGTACATGTAGATAACAAAACTTAATTCTTCTTTCAACCCCCTTTAAATACCCTCCCGCTTCTCTCCATCCCCCTCCATCTTTTAGCTTCTCTTTTGCAAATAATCTATCTCCATAAGTATATCTTGCTTGCTAGAATATTTTCTTGAAGTGCAAATTAGACTGTGTATATGTAAAATGTTCAACATAGTATATATTGAGTAAAATATTGATTTTGCATTTTTCCCATTCTTCCTATAGGAAGCAACTGTCTATTTCTTAAAGGTCACTGGAAGAAGAGAATAGTGACTTCACACTTATCAAGGCATCTAGCTCTAAGTCTAATCCAGTCATTCCTTAAAGTCTGCATAGATCCTACATGGAGAGTGCTAAACCAAGTCTGTCTTAAGCATGGCAAAAAGGAAAGACCATTTCATGTTGCAAACCAGCAAACGTTTTAGCAAACAAAGGGGAAAACTGAATGTCAGAAAGGGAATACAAATCTTCTTGTTTAGTAATTCTTTTTTACCAACAGCGTGGTTTTATCTTGAGACTCTCATTCAGTGTCACATAGCTTGCTATGTTGTTGTCCCAAGTACAAGTTCAAAGTGAGTTTTTGCTTCAAATAAATCCAGAATAGAACCTCTTAAAGATATATTTATTTGTTATTGTCTTTTATTTTGATTTTTATTTATATTTGGGGCTAGGAAAAAGAAATCGAAAGATGTGGGAAAGAGGAGAGAGAAAAGAAACTAAAAAATTTTTTAAAAAGAGGGAATTTAAGAAAGAAATGGAAACAGAGCCTTTGTAAATGGGCTAAAGACCAAGAGTTGGAAAGAGCAGAGGGAGATGGGAGGGGTAGGGAACAAAAAAAGAACTAATAAGTGTTAGTTCATGCACCAACTCCCTGTGATAAATGGGATCATTAGGTACTAATAACATGTACTAGTAAAAAAAAAAATTTAAAAAGAAACTCTTAGGAAGAAACAGAAAATTACACTGGCAAAGTAGTTGCCAAACTGGCACAAAGGACGTTTGGAAATACATAATATACTCTCATTTATCTTTGTTTTTTTTTATTTTAGAACCGAAACAGAACCAATACAAAGGAAACACTGTGAGTAACTTGTCAACTATGAAAAACTGTATATACTTTGTTTCTCCAGCTTTCTCCCACAATCCAAATGCATGAATGTTTTAAAAATAGGGTAAAGGTACATGTAATTTACCCAGTGATGCATCACAGCTTGCTTTTCTAGAAGAGGTCAGTAAATGAGAAGATCCATCTGGAAATCCAGCATGCAAAGAAGGTATAGCTGGGCTCCAAAAGTGAATATATCACATTTCAAATCTTTTAGGAAAAATACTAGCAATATAGAAACTTACATCTAAAAAATAAAAAGTTTTCATTTGCACATGTTTTGTATTTTATGGACTATTTTTCCTTATTCTTTATATTTCCCATGGCAGTCTTAAGATTAATATTCCTTTTGTACTCTTTGGAATCCCCAAGTATTTCATTATAGATTAGCTAAGAATTTAAATATCTGAATGTTACCTACTCAAAGATAAGCATAGAAATATTCTAAAATACCATACTATTTAGAAGTATTCTGATATTGTGTGATATTTAGAAGGAATGATCTGATGCTAAACTGAATTGCAAGTATCAGTATCATAAGTTTAAATGAACTGTTTTTGTTTGTTTGTTTGTTTTTTGCGTATTTCAGGTTGTCCTTTTCTTTTAGTTCTACTTAGAACAATGATTTTGTCTTTATTTTTCTCTGTTGACAACTATCTTCTCTTTTATAAGGATTGTCTTTAAAATTACTTTGGAACTTTTTCCTTATCTTCCTCTGTCCTTTTGCTACATATAATCTCTTTCTAAATATTTTTCAATAATTTTTTTCAACTGAGTATGTTTTTTAGTTCTTTTTCCTTCAGAAGAAATTCCCAGAAGGCAAATTTTCTTTGTATACCTACCACTGGGGACTGGGAAGGAGAAAATGGCAAGAGGTCATTTCCCTTCTGACCTCACTAATGTCGAGGCCCTTGAGCCAATTTCTTCTTTGCTTTAGCAGGGTGGCATCCATAGAATTCTGAATGTGCCCAACCACAGAACTCCCCGTTTGGTATCTTGTCTCTCTTTCAAGTGTGGGAGCTGGAATTGCCATAGATGGCAAAGGACATTATCTAGTGCTAGTAGCAAAAATAATGGGATTGGATCACTTAGGTGGCATTTTAGTAAACCAGTATTTTTATAGACTATATAAGTAGAAATAAATCTATGTTTTCTAAGCTATTGTCATTAAACACAATTCATGTGTACATGACGATTTCATACGCAGTATGATTTCTATATACATAATTTTTCAGAGTGTATGCTTTTCTCACACTAAATATTCTCAAGTGGCTTTTCACAATCTTCAGACTACGCATAAATCAGAAATCTGTGCTTGTAGCCCAATGCTCAGTGCTTCGAGAATACTCTATGACTGTCAGATTTATCTGCTAGCAGTTTTAGTTACCATAGCATCTTAAGCCGTTCACTTTTTCTCATGTTCCCCACAGAGAAGAGTACAATAGACCTTCTGTTTTCGTCTATACTTCATCACTGTCTTAACGGTAAGCTACAAAATGTTAAAAGCTTAATTTTGAGTCAGGTGCCCGGTGCCTCTCTGAGGAAGAGAAGGGAGTTTACTTGAAGGTGGCACTCTCATGTGTAAAAGAAAGTGGACAAATAAGGCAACATCTAGACATATTAAGACAAAAACATATGTCTGAAATATCTGACAGACTGAGGCCAGATTTTGCGAAGTGTTACAGTTTGATAAGACTGCAGTCAACCATATGGACTTAACAGCTAAATTTGCATGAGGAGGAAAAAAAAACCTATGATAACGTTCACTGTTTAGTCCTTCCTTATTCACAGAAGTCAAAGGATATAGCAGACAATGCTTAAACTACCTTTTTTAAAATCTTCCTCTTCTAACACTAACTTTTGAAAAGAACCATGAAATCAAATTTATTCTAAAAGTTGACTGGGACCGGATTTAAAGTAAAATTCCATAGTAATAAAAATATAGAGTCCTTAGTCAGAGTTCACTGTTATAATGAGTCAATCTTGCGTCCTCAGCACTAGTTACCTAAATGTAAAGAGCCTATGGCTCCCTGTGGCTTTTTACTTCACAATTTATCTTAATACTCATCATCATAACACATGCACCTGCGTCCACACACACTCAGGTGCATCAAAAAAAGTTCAAAACAAAGTTTTGGTAAATCCATCTACCTAGCATTGGCTACTAATAAATCTTAATACACTTTACTAGGGTATATTGCCAGATGGATTTATAACTGGCTTTGAAGGTATTTGTTTAGTACAAGGGATAGGTAAAGCATTTTCTCAAGCTTTTAACATAATATCACTTCTTTTTTCCACGTTGAACCTACCATGCTGCCTGGAGTTTAATGTCTTTTAAATAAGACAAAAGTCCTTATAAGATACCTATACAAAAGAGATTAAGAGGATGTAATCTTTAAAATTAAATCTGCAAGTACTTGTTCTTTTTTATTAACCACACCTTGTTTGTTGCAGTATATGTGTAGTTATCAGATCCCTTCACTTTTCCTCTAACCTCCAGGTCTCCCCCCAAGATCGAAGAGGGCAGAAATGTGACAATTTTCGAAGAAATATCTCAGCCTTCTCTTACTCTCACTTATAAGTGCAGAGTCCCTTTCCTGTCTTTTTCCTGGGTTGCTATGCTTTCTTGTATTGTGCTAGAAACTCTCACCTCTCTGATCCTTCTCAAATCCAAAGCAAGCAAGGAAAATAGAAGACGGAGAAAGAGATTAAAAGGAGGAATGGACATTAGACAAAAAAATAAAATAACTGAAAACAGCCTTTTATTCCTTCCTGACCTGCTTGGTAGCTACTACTTTATTCACAAATAAATCTGCTTCAAATAAAAGAGCATCAAGTATAGTAAATTTTCACAAATATATTTATTTTCTCTGGGTGACTGTCACCAGTTATTATTCACAAATTTCCCCCTGCTTGGGTTTTTCTGTGTCAGTTAGGAATGTTGAAGAGGATGAAAAACCTTTATGATTTATGTCTATTTATTCCACCTTTATTTGATATAGGGGAAATTCAGATATTAAGTAAATACTTTAAAATTGGGAGCAAGTGAGAAGCCCTCTATCCCATTTCCTAGAAATAGTCACAACTAGGAAGATGAAAGAGAAACCAAGGCATAGCCTTATACTAAACATTTAAGGCAAGCGTATCTGAAACTTGGTGAAGGTAGAAAGAGGAATTGTGGCCAAACCATTTTTTCATCCCAAAGAGCAAGGCAATGCTTACACTCCTGGACCGCTTCTATCCTTGTATGCAAGGTTAAGAATTTCCTCCCAGGCATGAGTCACCTAGCATTTATCATACCCCTAAACTGTGTCTGATTCACATCCTTTCTCCCATCCTCTTGCTCAGGATGGTTTCCCAAGGGTCTTTCCCCAACTACAGCTTAATTATTAACCTTATGTGGGAGTGAGTGCTCTCTAAGTTCTGCTCTGGTGAATGAATTACCTTACCAGTGTTCTGAATCACATGTTAAATTACTATTTCCCAATTATGGACAAGGGAGACCTTAAGCCTTTTCCAAACATAAAAATAAAAATACATTTGGCTCGAGAATATATGAATATATGATAACTATCATCAGGACAGAATGGGGAGTATTTGGAGAAACATGAAAAAAATCAGAAAATATCTTTTCATATAGCAGTGGAGGTAACTGCATGGGTTTGAGGGAAAGAGACACAGTAAGAGTAGTTACTCACTTATCTAAGGATCTGCTATGTGTTCAGCATTTTTCTAGGTGATGGGTATTTTCTGTTGAAGGTTGGCTAGGATTCTTGTCACCAAGTATATGTGTTTCTAAAGGAAGAATCAGACTATAAAATAATTCTACATGCTGATAAGTTACATAAAAAACAGTAAACCAGTATGATAAGATAAAAAAGTGCTATTGTCGTTTTCAATAGTTGGTTAGAAAAGGCCTCTTTAGGAAAGTGGTATTTGAATTGAAACAAAATGACAAAAAAGCATCCGTTATGGAAGATATAGATTTAAGGCAAAACATTTCACAAAAGGAAGAGGATGCAGAGACTCAAGAAGTTCAAATACGCAACTCTGCTATAGAGTTGGCCATCCTATGTATCTAGATAGAACAAGCTAGGTCAAGACCCCTCGACAGGATCTGCTTCTTAAAGTAAATAAAACTAAACTGCATGAACTCAACTGTGTCACAACTCTTTATCACCAGTATCGGGAAAAACAAACCCAAACAAAAATCCAAAATGGTGGGATTGGCGGGTAGGTTCTTATTTTCTTGCAAAAGATTGATTTGAAGACATGCTTCAAAGAAATCATGTAGAGGTACAAGATCCCAACAATGAATGTAACTGTCCTGTATCCCTAAAATGTACCAGTAAACTCAATTAAAGCTAAAAAAAAAAGAAAGAAAAAAAAAAGAAATCTGAACAAAATGAGGATGCAGACCAGTTTTAAGATTATAGCTAACTCTAAGAGCAAACTAAGTGCTTGGATAGAAGCAAAGGGCCTGCTCTTCTGAAATGAAGAGAGAATCCACCTCTGCCACTGAGCCCAGTTAGGACCCATCCTCCATATGACTGTCAGGAGGAGGGCCGAGGATTTAGCTCAGTGGTTCCTCCACCTGCCTCACAAAAAGCAAGGTCCTGAGTTCGATCCTCAGTATCAAAAAGAGAAAAAAAAAAACTGTCAGGAAGATTGGAAACAATTTTATTATACAGATCTAGTTAAAATAATGTTTGTGAAAATTGAATTCTACCTGTGTATTTATATAATAAATTCTCTATTTAGGTAATATCATCTTATTTTTTTCATTTTATGTGTGTCCTCTTACTCACATGTAGCCAACTATAGACTGCCAAAGGATTTGTTTTGTCCACTGATTTCAAGTTATCTTTTTCCATAAAAATCAATATATGTCTAATTGTTTACTCCTGATACACCATCGCATGCTAACCAAAACAGATGAAAAAGAACTCATTTTTTTGTCCTGCCGTATATGGTCTCTTGTACATAGAAATGACTACCTTTTCAATTTGTTTGAAGACTCCAGGTTTGTATGCCTGCCCAGGATGAAGTGCTGCTTAATGACTTAAAATAAATCAATATTTCTATACAGAAAAAACTAGGGAGAGTAGAGAATTGAGATGGCCTGACTCATTAACCTGAGAAAGAAAGTGTCTTAAATGCTTATGGAAAGTAACAAGTCATTTGGCTTCCAGAGGCTCAACCTACCAAGCTTATCCTAGACATGGTGGTTAATTAGAGTAAAAGTAGCAAGCAATCACAGTTGATGCTTGTTATTGATTCATATGTGTACAAAAGCAGTTTTTGAAACATTCCTGAAAACTTAATTTGAAATATTTCTTGTCTGGGAAAAATGTATTCAAAGTTTTCAATCGCCCCCCAAAGTAATCTGTACTATGAAAGAGCTTACAGGTTAGAGTCTTCCACTAACAGAATGACTTAGTTCTTCCTTTACTCCAGATGAGTTTATTATTGTTTGTTTTTAGAATCACTGTCCTCTTACTATTCTTAGTGCTTGATTCCTTCTGTGTATATTAGGCTGAGTGCTTTCATTTAGTTTTCCACTTCTATGTTTAATCTTACTGAATGTTCCTCAGTGCCTACAACTCTGAAAGTTCTTCTCACAAGTGAAAAAAATTCTTCTGTATTCTATTTAACTTGTCCTGAATAATAATGGTTCTATGCAGTTCTGGAATAACACTTTATTTTCACACGCGCATGCTTCTTCTCTTTCCTTCTCTTTCAACTCCCTCTTTCATATTAATAAATGAGATATAGTTTAGTGTGCTGTTCTTTTCCTCACGGGCTAATCTTCGGTAATGGTCACATGCAGGCTTTAGGATTTACTTTGAAAAACACTGCTTCTGTTTCTTATGCCTGGGGACGATAGTCAGGCAACTCTGAAATCTGTTTGGCTGCTCTTTTCCTTTTGGCCTTTCTGCCTGGCTCTGCTCTTGTCGATCATTTCTATGCTCATCCAAATCCATTTCCAGGCACCTGATATTTGAACAAAGTGCTCCTTCACCTTGGAGCCTCCTCATTCCTCAATAAATTATTCATTCCTTGTATATATACAAAAGCAGGTGCAGCAAGCTATATACTTCCCTTCAGAATACACTAACAAAATGATACATACAGAAGCATATAGTCTGTTAAAATTTTAGTCAAAATATGTTTTCTCCCAACATAGACACCGTATAATCTATGAAAATCAACCCTGGCACAACTTCTTTCTAGATCATTTTGCTTTCCCTAGATATTCAATGGCTTAATATTCTTGAGTATCTCTGTTTCCCCGGGTAACATTCAAAGTATTAGCTATCTTTCACTTTTGTAATACACTCTCATGTTCTCTTTCTTTTAATTTAACAACTTTAAATTTCCTCTGGTTGAATTTCTCCTTTTCCCAGAAACTGAGGTCTTAAAGTCTTGTATCTAATCAGTTTTCCTTCTACTTTTTGAGTGCTCGATTTTATACTTCCTTCTCTATGTTTGAAATATCTATACACAGCATGTTTATACCTTGCCTTTCTTCTACTGGTCATATAATTTTGTAACATTTTCTTTTCCTGCGATTCTGTACCCACACACATACACACAGCTCCTCAAAGCCTACTACTCCAGTAGCACAACTCCAGTGTGTCTGTTACTAAGCTCTGAGCTGTGTAAAGTTTTACAAGGAGTAAGTGAAAAAAGCCAATTTAGTTCCTGTCCTGAAAAATGACACTCTGGAAAACGGTTCAAAATAATTAGAATATCTCCATAATCGTTAGACAAGTTTATAGTCCCACCAACAATGGAGAAGAGTTCCTCTCTCCCTATAACCTTGCATTCCCAAAAAACTAAAAGCAAAAATTCCACTTGACCCAACTACCTTCCTTCTAGGTATCTTCCTCAAGGAGTTGAAGATAACATACAGAAGTGATGTATGTATACCCATATATATAGCAGCACAATTCACAATATCTAAATCTTAGATGTAGCCTATATGTCCATCAACAGGCTAGTGGATAAAAAAATGTATTTATACACAATGGAGTGCTATTCTGCCATTGAAAAGGATAAATTTGAGTATTTGTAGGAAAATGCATCTGGAGACCATAATGTGAAGTGAAGTAACTCAGACACACAAGCTTAAGTATTGTATAATTTCTCTTATATTGAAAATCCAATATATTTATAAAGTATGAAATAAAAGAGATAACAGAAAGAAACGTACTGTAATTCAGTGTGAATAATACATCTAAAAGTGTACCTTGATTTAGTACAATCATCTTTGTATTTTATATGTTCTTTGGGTTACTAGTCTTGTTTTCAATCTCTATATATGATAACTTACTTTATAAGTCCTTATAAGATAAATGAATCTGAAGCTGGAAAAATAAAAGTGGGTGGAAAGTGCGGGGGTAGGTGAGAAGGGAATTTAAGTGTGTTTTGTACATGTACCAACTGCCTACAGTAAATGTAATCATTATGACCTTCAAATATGTACTAATGAAAGTAAAAAAAAAAAAAAAAGATGGATGTAGCAAGTGGTTAAATAAGCCAAACCCCAATTATCATTTATAGTCCACTCATGTCTTTAAAAACTTGGCTAATTTCAGTTTGTCAGATTTTCCATGGCCACCCATCCAATCACGCTGCAGAGACCAGAAAATGCCCCAGGTGATGGAATAAAATACTTTCTGTACCCTAAGGTATGCTACCCTCATGTGGCTAGACAGACTCAGCTAAAATTACACTTAGGATGGAATG